TCAACTCAGAAAGATGCGGGAGTGTGATATGAATGGAAAATCGAAGTGACTTCGACAAATCCTGAAAGAACATCGGGATCTCTCTAAGATGGAAGCTCAGCAAGAATCTAGAGAACTCTTCATGGACCCACGAAGCATAGGATGAAAGCTCCAAAGGTAAAAAGACAACTTCGAGAATTTTGAGTTCTAACGATCCCACAAGGAAATTCTTTCATAATTTTGGATAAAAAATAATAAAGAAATGGACCACCAAAGGGGCCACAGGTGGCAAAACTATAAGGCCTGTCCCTTTTAAAAACGCTTTTTCAATCTGGTTGTTAAAACCCTTCATTTCCAAAACCCTTTTTGAAAGGACTTCCTCTATCATTACAAGAGGTTAAACTATTAGTTGATCTAGCATGTTCTCAAAGCCAACTTCCTTCGCCTATTATGAAGGCTTAAAACTAACCAGATACTCCATGGTTATATGAGTATAACTACCAACTACCACATATCGGAGATGAGTGAACCTCGTCAATGATGATATTGGCTAGTCTGAGAGCGTGTTTTCTCTTGACTGGATCCCTTGAGGCGAAATGAGGCAAGCTCATCCCCGTGTGTGCGTACGATGCCCCAAAGTACAATTCGAAAAACGTCAAACTCGTGCGACGTAAAAGAGCTGAGACATGAAAAACGTTGAACTCGTGCGACGTAAAAGAGCCGAGACAGGATAAACGTCAAACTCGTACGATGTAAAAGAGCGGAGACAGGATAAACATCAAACTAGTGCGATGTAAAAGAGTTGAGACATGATAAACGTCAAACTCGTACGACTTAAAAGAGTCGAGATAGGATAAACGTCAAATTCGTGCGACATAAAAGAGCCGAGACAGAAAAAAAAAAAACAAAAAAGAAAAAAAAGAAAAAAAGAAAAAAAAAAAAGAAAGTCAAACTCGTGCTACATTAAAAAGCCTAGACAGGAAAAACGTCAAACTCGTGCGACTTAAAAGAGCCGAGACAGGGACCGTCCGGCCCCGTATGACGTGAAAGGTCGGCATATCCAGGGTAGAACCACCCTGTTCAATGGAAAAATGTCAAATTCATGTGACATAAAAGAGCTGAGACAGGGACTATCCAGCCAGGTATGATGTGAAAGGTCGGATGTATCTAGGGCACAACCACCTTGTTCAATGGAAAAACATCAAACTCGTGCGACATAAAAGAGTCGAGACAAGTATCGTTTAGCCCCATATGACATGAAAGGTCGGGTGTATCCAGGGCACAACCACCCAGTTCGAAAGAAAAACATCAAACTCATGCGATGTAAAGGAACTAAGGCAGGTACCGTCTAGCCCCGTATTGACGTAAAAGGGTCGGGTGTATGGTCCATCGCTGCATGACGCTAAACTGCTTAGAGAGCTCTATGGTTGCAGGAGTTAAAAATGTTAACCAACCTTGTTTTCTGAAATATCTTTGTGTTTCAAAATTTTCACTATATGTCTTGTGTTTTCTAAAAATTTTAAATTTATTTGTTAAAATCGTAACCTGTCCTTGCTCCAGGTTTTATTTCAAATCTCCCCCTACTTTCAAAAATTCTAAAAAAAATCTTAAAAAAACGAAGGAACTTGGACACCCATATATGATGATTACCGCGTTGCCACGTTGTTGTCTTGTCTCTTACTTTGGATTTGGTCAGACAAGTCTCTTCCTATAAAAAGCCTTTCCCTACAGATAGAAAACCACAGAAACCCTTGAAGTTAAGTGATATGGCTAGAAAATCTAACTCGAGTTTCAAGCTTATGTAACTCACCGACATCTCACGCCGAAAACCCTAGGAGGAAAAATGCCCTAGGTGGGTGAGTTTGGTGAGCGCAACGACTTGGAGGGATAGTTGGTGTGCCCCTTGACCACGTGACCTCAGGAAAAAATTTAAAATGTTTGCTTTATCTTTGGTGTTCACCTACCCCTCGAAGGACAGGGGATGCCAAAGTGTTTACTTCTTTGCTACTCACTTGTTACTCAAAGGACATGGAGTGCTAAAGAGGGGCAACTGTAGAGACCCCATTTTAAATCTGACAAATTCTATGGTTTTCTGAACCCTTAGGAAGACATTATCCTAGTAGACCGAATTTAATTACCCCAAAACTACCCAAATCCTATCCCAATTTGAAGTAGAGCCAAAGAGCTTTCCAACGGTCCAAGAATCGCTTGAATCTAACCTAGGGATAAAATGATATATCAAATAACAATTTAGTCCCTATAAGACCCAATTGTCAAGCCACGGTCCAGGCTGTAACGGACCTAACAGGCCCAGACGCTGGTTGATGACACAATAAACATGTTTTCTTTAATTAAATAAGGATAAAACTTTAAGATAAATCCAAACAATTCTGAAAAAATTTCAAAAAATTTAGGAAAAATCACCAATTGAATCGTATAAATACTCCCTCTCCCTAACCCAGAAGGAGAGGAAAAAAGAGACCAAAAAATCTTTAGAAATTCTCGAAATTGAAAAAAATACCCAAAAATAAGAAAAACCCTTAGAAAATTCTTAAAAACTTAAAAAAAATCCCCAAATTTTCCAAAAAATTAGAGAATATCTCAGAATTCATATTCAACCTCTGGAAATTATAAAACCCTTAGAAAACTAAAGAAATTCTCTTCCAGACCCCGAGAAAAACTTATAGCTTTAAAAAAATATATAGATTGAAAACCCTAGAGAAGATAGAAACCCGAGCCTCCTGAAGTCCTAAACCCCAAGACTGAGAAAACTTAGACCTAGGGCACAAAAACCCTAGATCAAAACTAGAATTAAGGCACAGCAAACCTAGATCTAACCCTTTACACCAGAGATATGCTGGTCAACATCCGAATCAAAGAGGCAAAGAGGACCGGTTCTGATACGGGCGAGCCCTCGAAGGCTCGGGAATCCTGGGCCAATCAGCCTGGTTTGGTATTATTTCTTCCTCTCTCTCTTTCTTCTTTTATTTATTTTTGGTCTGTTAACTTGTCTTAAAAATCATATTTAATGCTCTGGATCATGCTGGCTCTACCACAGATCTGAGAGTATATCTGCTCATTTCTGGACAAATTTGGCCTCAGATCTGAATTCGATCTGTCCCACTTTCTTTACCACTTTATTTACATCTTTTTAATTAGTTTAAGGTGTTAAAATTCGAGAGATCTTAATCGAAAGATCTGTCATATTTTCATTATAAATAGGAAGAACAAATGTTTCATGTTGCATTCGCAATTGTGGATGCCGAAAATACAGATAACTGGTTATGGTTTATGGAATCGTGAAAGGTTGCTATTGGGATGGATCATGAAATTACTGTTTTATCAGATAGACACCCTAGTATAGTTGATATTGTTTGTCAAGTCTTTGAGAATGCCCATCATGCCTTTTGTGAGCATCATTTAGCAGAGAATTTCAAAAAAGAAGCAAAATACATACCTAATGATGTTAAGAAGGCAATTGTATGTGCCTTTATCAGTGCATGTAGGGCTTATAGACAACAAGAGTATTTTGATAAGATGATGGAAATTAGATCACTTTCTGAGGATGCATTCTAGTGGTTCATGGAAGCCTCACCAAATCGTTGAGCCACATCATAGTTCAAGGGTAATCGACATGACCAAATAACAACTAATGTGGCTGACTCATATAACAAGTGGATTCTAGAAGTACTAGATATGCCAATTCTCCAGTGCATTGACTTGATTAGGAGACAAATCATGGAATTATCGGCCACTTACAGCTTGAAAGCTGAAACTTGGACTACACACTTACCCCAAAAGCAAAAAATGAACTAAAAAATGTCATAAAACAATCCCTTTTTGTGAGAGTCACTATGGCATCAAATGGAGCAGTTTATGAAGCTAGAAGTGATCGCATGAATTACAAGGTAAATATTCTTACACGAGAATGTGAATGCTGGGGTTGGCTATTGTTAATAGGGATCCCGTTGACTATTGTCTATGATATTTCACCGTTGTGAAATTTTGGGAAACATATTTTGTAGCTATCACGCCAGTTATCTTGATCGACTTGTCTGGGGCATAGTTTACATAGACAGCTTCATCCGGAGGGAGTAAGAGTACTTTCACCTCACTTAAGGCGCCCCCCTGGCCGACCTAAAAAGAAGCGCATCGAGTTACAGGCAGTACCAGTGTGACCTATTCACTGTAGTCGGTGCAAGGAACTGATCATAATAGGGCAACTTGTAAAGCACCCAATTGAAGTTAAATATAAATTTTTCATCCCTTTTATTTTGACTTCTCTTTTTAATGTGATTGTTGTTGTTGTACTTGTAGTTGTGTTTATTTTGGTTAAAAAAGTATACTTTATTTACATTTTCTTTTCTTTGTAATGTGATTACTGTTATTTTACTTGTCATTGTGTTTATTTTGGTTAAAGAAGCACACTTTATTTACATTTTCTTTTCTTTGTAAATTTTGTAGCCTTTCATTTTGACTTCTCATTTTAATGTGATTGTTGTTACTGTACTTGTACTTGTGTTTATTTTGGTTAAAGAAGCACACTTTATTTACATTTTCTTTGTAATGGGATTGCTGTTATTGTACTTGTAGTTGTACAAATGTAAATTTTGTAGCCCTTTCAGTTTGACTTCTTTTTTTAATTTGATTGTTGTTATTGTACTTGTGTAAGTCTAATTTTTGCAGTTGTAGTTATTTTTGACAATTCATATGTTATGCACATGTAAACTCTAATAATATAAATAGATAATAGTGATGCAAGACACAGAACCGTCAAGTGGAACTAGGGGCCCATCCACTTCCTCCGATCAAAGGGAAAAGGCATAATACTCAATTTACTTTAGTTCATGATTTACATTAATTAGACAATTATTATAATGTTAATAATTATTGACATATTTTATTGAATCCATTTCAGAAGAAAAACAATTTTCGTATTAATGAATCAACTAAGACCCTGGTAAAATGGGAGTTGGATATACGACTGGTAGCTTTGGTTGAAAAAACCAATTTGATATCCTGGAAAGACATAGGGGTCACACATATCGATTGCAGTCTACTGAGGGCCTTTATTGGAAAGTGGTGCAAGGTCACTAATACCGCACGATTAACTATTGGTGAGATGACTCCAATGCTGTACGATCTGTGGCACATATTACGGATACCTGTGACAGGTGAGCCTGTAACAGGCATAAGACCTAAAGACTACATGGCTTTCATCATGGAGTATTTGGGAGATTGCCCTAATGGTGATAAGTTGAGCCGACTAAAACATATTTGGTTGAGGACGAAATTTGAGCAACTACCAAAAAACCCTACCAAATTAAAATTGCTTCAATACACTAGAATAAGAGATACCTAAATGTGTTGAAGCAATTTTAATTTGGTAGGTTTTTTTTGCATCTCAAGGATAGACGTTGACAAGTTACCTACAACTGTTCTAAGATCTCGATGAGGCAAGAAAGTATGCATGGGGTGCAACAACGCTTGCATTCTTGTATCGTTCCTTATCTAAGGTTGTGGACGAGGATACATATTTTAGTGGGTCAGCAACACTACTACAGGTAACTTGCATTGTTCATTTATTTTTATAATCAATATTGCGATATTTACAATTCCTTGGGCTACAAAGTAATTGTTTCTTGCTATATTTTTACATTCTAGCTATTTCTTTTGCAGTGTTGGATCTATGAGCATATTCCAGCTCTAGGCAGCAAGCCTACAACTATCACTATAGAAATGCCTAAAGTTTATAAATGGAAGAAACAACCACGTAGGAAAGACCTATTAACAACATTTGATGACATCTCAATTAACATGGTTTGTTATTTGCTAGTGTGTTTATGTAATTGAAGATAAATACAAATACAAATAAGTTATTATTGTGTTTTGCTTTTGTTGGAGGTGACTTGGCAACCATATGAGGAGTATAGTCTACGAGATACACTAAGTAAAGAAAACACGTTGTGCCGGTCACATCTGATATGTTTCAACATTGCAGAGTTCTATATGCCTGATCGTGTATTGCGACAATTTGGGATGATGCAAGCGATTCCTATTGGGCCACTCAAGTGGGATAGGAGAGTAAAGGTCGGCTTACATCCCACAAGTTGGATTGACGAGTTGAGTGCCGAGATAAGCAACTGACAACGACGAGAACGCAACATTGTTAAGACATACGAGGATAAATATGGTGGAATGCCCACAAATGAATATATGAGCTAGTACAGCATGTTCACCCATAGATATAGAAATACTCCAATGTTCCCCCCCTCGCAGTCGCAATCAAATTATAGAAATACTCCCATGTGCCCCCCTCGCAGTCACAATCCCATTTACGCCCCTCACAAACCATCATAACGAGAAGACATTGGTATATTATGTAATTTGTGTATATTTTTTTTTATTGACTTAATATGCATTCAAAATAATTTTTGATTTTTTTTTTCATTGTCTACCTGCAGCGATTAACTTGTATAGGGATGCTACAAGCTGCACTTAGGGGTCAAGTATTAGCAGGTGAATCAAGACATTACGTCTAAGCGGCACATGATTTGCTGTTGCAAAATACTCCTATGGAGACAAATGTCGAGGAGAGGGTGGAGGGAGATGGTGAAGACGTGCGCGAAGAGAGAGATGGTGGAGATAATAAAA